ATTTTTGAATGTTATCTTTCATCTCTCCCATTTCTGTCTTCAAATCAATGTGATTTTTCAACATTGTCTCCTGTACCTTGAGCATCGATTGCTGGATGGATAACAGTGCTGCTTGCATTACTTACATGTTGGCAGGATTGCTTGTCTTGCCTGTAGTCAACACCCCCTCAATTTTTTTCTATCCTGCTGGGGATACAATGAATACTAATGAGCCTGAAATTGTTTTCTTTCCGTTCAAAGTTGTTGTTGTAGTACTCGTCATGTTCTATATCTTATTGTATATTTCTTCTCACTTTACCATCCACAATTTACTTCCATCCTCTTTGTCTCTTCTATTCAATACTTCTATATGATCATACACCACATCTTTATCTGAAGTTATTAATAGTAGTTACCAATTTAACATATATTATATTGTATATTACTAATATTTTACCATATATTACTAGCTTACCATATATTTTGTACTAAGAGAGAAAGAATTAACCTACTAATACAAAAACTACAGAAAGAAGAAGCAGGAGGAAAAAATATTAAATCAAGAAAAAAAGAAAGGAAAAGAGAAAGAAGAATATATAAAGAAAAAAATAATATCTTATCTTAATGTTTTTAGTTCTTATTCTTACTTTAGTATTTAGTGATACCGTTTTTTATATAAATAACTTATTTGTTATAAACAGTTTATAAGATTCCTAAATGCCTATCAATTTTATCTAATTCACTAATAACTTATTATTGTAACAAAAGGTTTGTAAAATTCTTAAATATCCACCGGTTTTTGCTTAATTCATTAATTACACTAATTCATCAAGCTAATCAAATTAACAATTCATTAGTCATCTAAAAATCTCAGCTATATAATTCATTCACTTTCAGGGCTAATTCCCAATATTAATTAAACCTTTAATTTCATCTTATACTGTTTACTTTCAATTCTCTACCCAATCTAAACAATATATTCCACACTTAAATAGTAAGGAAATAATTAAACTAAATAATCAATTCATTAACTTCTAACAGTAGCAGTTATTAATCATTTTCTTTCTCCCTTTTTTGCACAGTTTTTATCAGTCTCAGTTCATATGTCTTTTGCTTTGTCATGATCTATTACATCAGCTGTCTTTTGAAATTAAGATGGTCGCCTCCTTTCTTAGTCCAGGTCTCTTACTGTATCTCTTTCCTCTAATCTCTCCCACGCTTATAACATAACCACAAGTCCAATCACAAAGATTCAGTCCTCTGATCTAATACTCAAATTCCGTTCAAACACTGTTAGGTAACCAAATCATATTGGCTCTAATTTTTATCTTCAAGCCTTGTGCTCTCACTGCCAGATCGCCACTTCACTTTCGGATTTCTGCCCCCTCTTCAAGACTCATGATTCTGATCACCAGTTTCTAAGACCTCTCCTCTTTGACAGTCATTCTCCATCTTCCCCTGATCGCATTCAATAGTTGGTTCAATGTTACTGCTGCTGTCACTATTATATCTCCCTTATTCAATGTGATTGCATGGCCATAGATGTAAATTATAGACCACCCAATCAAGCAGAACTAACAAACATATGCAGGAAACACACAACAATAGTAATGGGAGACTTCAATTATCCTGATATCAATTGGAAAACTAATTCTGCACCAAGCGAGAAATCAAACAAGTTCCTAGCCAACCTAGCTGACAACTTTGTTGTCCAAAAGGCAGAGGGTGAAACTAGAGGGACAGCCATACTGAACTTAATTCTTACAAACAGAGAAGAAATGATAGAGAGAGTTGAAACTGCAGGAATCTTGGGTGAGAGTGACCAAGTCATACTAGAATTCAACATAACACAAACGCAAGCAATAGAACATAGTGACACCAGGGTCTTGGATTTTAAAAGAGCTGATTTTAGTAAACACTGAGAGAACTTGGGAAAGATTCCATGGATGAAAATCCTAAAGGGGAAAACAACCCAAGAATCTTGGGAAACTCTAAAAAGAATCATCATAGAAGCCCAGGCCAGCACAATACCACGGAGAAAGAAAAACAAGAATTCCAAGAAGAAACCAGCATGGCTGCACAAAAATCTCTCTGGCAAATTGAAAGAAAAAAGGACAAGTACAAAAAATGGAAAGAAGGACATACAACTAAGGCAGAATATCAGCAGATAGCCAGAATCTGCAAACACAAAGTCAGGATAGCAAAGGCTTTGCAGAACGAACAAAGACTTGCAACAAAAGTCAAAGATAATAAAAAAAAGTTTCTTCCAACATATAAATAACAAGAAAAAAATCAAGGAAACATTTCTGGCAAGGAAGTAATTGGCAACAGAGAGAAAGCAGGACTGCTTAACTCATTCTTTGCATCAGTCTTCATGCAAAAAGAAACTATAGCTCAACCCACCAAAAACATAACTGTAAAAGACAGACCAGAAATAAAAGTTAAAATAAGCAAAAAAAAAATAGTAAGAGAACACCTGTCTGATCTTGATGAACACAAATCACCAGGGCCTGATGGATTACATCCCAGAGTTTTAATGGAGCTAGCAGAGGTCATCTCAGAACCACTGCACCATATCTTTCAAAAATCCTGGAGCACCGGACAACTACCAGAGGGCTGGAAAAGAGGTGATGTGATTCCCATCTTCAAAAAAGGAAAAAAAAACAGACCCAGGAAACTATAGATCAATCAGCCTAACATCAATACCCAGGAAGATACTGGAAAAGATAATAAAAAACAGATCTGCCAACATCTAGAAACAAGTAAAGTAATAACTAGCAGTCAGCATGGGTTTGTTAAGAACACCTCATGCCAAACCAATCTTATTTCATTCTTCAACATAGTATCTAAATTAGTAGACCAGCAAAATACTGTGGACATAATATATTTAGTTTTCAGCAAGGCATTCAACAAAGTAGACCACAACTTACTTCTTAGTAAGCTAGAAAAAAGTGGAATAGATAGCATCACCACTAGATGGACTTGCAACTGGCTGGCAAACCATATGCAACAAGTGGTCCTTAATGGGTCTAAGTCTCCATGGAGGGAAGTAAGCAGTGGGGTGCCACAAGGTTTCGTCTTAGGCCCAGTACTCTTCAATATCTTCATTAACAACTTAGATGAGGGAATAGAAGGGGAACTTACCAAATTTGTAGATGATACTAAGCTGGCAGGAATAGCTAACACCTTAGAAAATAGGCTCAAGATCCAGATGGATCTTGACAGACAAGAACACTGGGCCGTATCTAACAAAATGAAATTCAATGTAAAGCCCTCACTTAGGCAAGAAAAACTGAAAGTACACATATAGTCTGGATGAAACCAGGCTCAGTAACTGTGAGAGGGATCTTGGAGTCTTAGTGGACAACAGCTAAATATGAGCCAGCAGTGTGCAGCAGCAGCCAAAAAAGCTACTGCAATCCTAAACTATGACCAGAGGGATACAATCAAGATCAAGAGAAGAACTAATACCCCTCTATAAAGCCATGGTAGGACCACACCTAGAGTACTGCATCCAGTTTTGTTCACCACATTCTAAAAAATATGTTGATACTCTAGAAAAAGTACAGAGAAGAGCAACCAGGATGATTAGGGGACTGGAGACTAAAACATATGAAGAATGGTTACAGGAACTGGGCTTGGCTAGTCTAGTAAAGAGAAGGACCAGGGGAGACATGTTAACAGTCTTGCAATATTTGAGGGACTGCCACAGAGAGGATGCCATACGTTATACACTTTAACTTCAATAGCAGAATACCTGTCAGTTGGTATCCCCTTGTTCCATCGCTCTGAACTGCATGGCACAGACTGCCCTTATGTGTCAACCCTCTCTTGCTTCATATCTTGTTAAATTTCTCCTCCCTGAACATTGACACCATCATTAAGTGAATTACCATCACTAAGTGGATCACTGTCACTAAGTGAATCATTCCAAAAATTTGCATCAATTGTGTTCCAATTTTGCTCTGCAATCCTTGCATATCTTGAAAATACTATTATTTTGCTCCCATTGCTAAAGCGATAATTTTTTGAGCCCGGCTCATAGTCCATAAACCTGAGCTTTCTAGCCTTTGGTTGCCCCTTTCTTCTAATTGCTTTTGGAATATGCACCCATGCATTGCTTTCAAACACCCCTAAATGTGATAGAGATGGTTTTCTGCTGGTCCCCATGCTGTAAAATCTCCTGAAATAAGATTGGTCTCATATCTTCTGACCTTCCAAAGCTCTCTTAAGACCTGGTTATCCCAGTAGGTCTAAGACACCCAGGGGACAAGAAAACTTGTGAATTGACTGTGTTGTCATTAACAACATCTGTTTACTTTTTCTTGCTGTTTTATAGTCTTTTTATGATTTAATTTTTTTATAATTAATCATGGTAATAGTTTTAGATATTTATTGATTGTTTAGCTTTGTTGTATGGCACTGAGAATCACTTGTTTACTAAGATCAGTAGCTACATAATTGAATGAATGAATAAATAAATAGATAAAACTTTATTTCTAATTTATAGTAAATTTCTCCTATAATGGCATAGACCTTTTTTCTCCTGACATAAGCTAAAGTGACAGGCTGGTCTCCTTTCTTCTCCTGTTTTCAAAGCAAGATGAACTTGTTATCTCCAAATATTGTGAACATATTCTGCAGGCTGACCAGAATAGAACCTGATGAAACTAGGGGGGAGTTCCAAACTTAGCTAAATTTAAAGTAGACCTATTGAAATCAATTTCCATCTTATTGTTGCATCTGACAATGGCAGATACTGAATGGAGCTTCACTTCTGGGTGGAAAACAACAGGATAGAATAATCAAGGGCGAAGCATGACATCTTAGTTGTACTTCTGATTTCATAGAAGACTTTTTAAAATCCTTTTGAAAGTAGCCTGATAACTAATACTGTCATTGTAGTTTGATATTGTTATCTTGCTTTTAGAATTATTGTAAGAGGATCTAATAAAGCATATCTGATATGGGGAGTACTGAAGACTATCTGTATAATTCCACCCCCTCTAATTACTCTGTAGGTGGTCTTTGAGGCCTTGCATAATCTGGAGGCTCGTGGTTATGTAGTTGGATGGATCATCGCTATCAGTTTACTGGTGGGAATTCTCATCTTCCTGTTATTGGCTGTACTGCTATGGAAGGTAAGTTGTCTGTCAGACACAACATAGACAAAAGGATTAGCCATAGTTTTGGCTTAAAGTGCTTTTTGGTCTTTTAGACTCTGTAGCATCCATTAATTGCAAAAAATAAATCTTATATCCCAGGATCATTAAATTTCAGAACAAAAGGTTGTGTTTTCATTTTCTTTGCTGCTAAAATGGAGGATTGTTAAAATGATGATGTCAGAACCTTGAAAGAGGAACATGTTATGGCAATTTCAACATAAACTGATTTTTCATGGCTGGCATGTTAGAAAGTATTTGTTCATGTAACATCTAAGCCCATGACAGAGGCAACACTTTACTGTTATATCAGTGAACTTGTATGATTGGGGAAAGTAATTGATAACTGATCAGAGGAGGAAAGAGGATATTCCTACCAGACTGAACAGAAACCAATTCAAATGGAGTTTCCCTTCAATGAAGTGAACCAGAGTGTGCTGCATGAGCCAACAGATTAGAAAACACCAAGCAGAGCTTGACTTTCTGATGGTCTGGGACCAAGTCAAGGGCAATGTTGTTTTACTACTGCCCTTGAGAAATAGTTATTGACCCATATTTATTTTGAGGCAAGATGAATGTGTAGATCAGCCCCAAATTACATAAAACAATTTTTGTTACCAGCATGCTAGCCTCTTATCTTTCCTGACTAATGCAGAGTTCTATGCACTATAATGGATATGACTAGACAAAGCTTTGAAGGAAGGCTTGATTTCAACAATGTTTTGAATGAAGCACCTCTTTGAAGCTTTTTGATATGTTTTTGCTTTCTGTTTTTGTTATTGTAGTTATTATTTTTCTGCCATCTCTATCTCTCTCTTTATTTCTGTCTCTATCTGTCTGCCTGTGTGTGTGAGAGAAAGAAATAAATGAAAGAAAAAAAGTTTAGAAGAAAGGAAGGAAAGAAAGAAACTCAAAGTGGCGAATATACTTAATGCTCCCTTACCTTTTAGTTGTCTCCTCTGCAGTTTCCTTTGCCTGCCTAAAACTAATTTCCATTATAATACTTCCCATTTTTTATAAATAAGTAATGCAAAACACAAAAAAGGAATAGGGAATAAAATAAAGAGCATAAGATATGTGAAAATGAAAAGAAATGTAGGCAAATTTAATTTACAGCATATAAATGTAATAAATAAATAAATGCAACACCATGTATATGCCTCCTCATATCTGAAACCATCCTTTCTTCCACCATATTGACACCCAAATCACAAATAATATTTATTCAGAGTTTTGCAGCATTAATTCAGTGCCAGAAAAATAAACACAGATGGCTGATGCTTCATTTATCATCTTTATAAACAAAATAAGTAGATTTTACAAACCAGTTATAGATTTATTCAACATGGAGAAAACTCAGACAGAAACATGTTGTAAGTAACTTCTACACAGAAACAACATCAGTTTCACTTTAGTTCAGCAGGCAAGCATTATACAAAGCAGAGGAGAGAAGCAGTTTCATTTTCAATAGACAGACTCAGAGCTCAACATAGCTTCAGAGCTATGCCTAAGTACTTCTAGTTTCAGTTTCCAGCCTAGGCTACTTCTAGTTTCAGTTTCTAAACTCTCCGCATTGGCTGATATAGTTGCTATGCCTATTCATTTGCTGACCTTGTTACCATGCTCTATTTCAGTTCATAAATATACTCTGACACTCCTCCCTTCATAACTGGAACAGACATAAATTCAATTACCTTTCATATTCTTCAGATATCTGTATTTGAAGACCCACACTCACAGTTCCCTCCAAATACCTCAGAATTCCTTTTTATACCTATCCAACACAATTGTGTTGATCCCCACCTTTTAACTTTCCAGTGTATATGCAACTTATCAGCCTTGAAACTCTTGAACCCAAGACCCTTCATTGCAGTATCTAAACGGATATTCCAATTCCTGGCTGACTGCTTCAGCCCATAAATGGCCTTGTTCAATTTGTAAACTATGTTAGGCTTTTTACTTTCATATCCTACTGCTTGAACCATATAAATTTGTTCCTTAATTTTGCATTGAGAAATGCAGTGGTTATGTCAAAATGCCAAATTTATGGTCATGTGCTGTTAGGAATCTGTCCGCCAATTAGTTGGGTTGGCAATATATAAACCAACAATGTATGTTTCTAGCTTTAAGACAAAGTTACTGTATTGATTTGTACTGTGTTCCAATTGGTTGATTGTATTGTAAATTGCCATAAGAGAGAGCCAGAGATCATGGCTTGCTCTCTCTGACATGCTCTATCTCTGACATTCTGTTGCTATCTAAGGTTTCTGTTGCTATGCTTATACATTGGTATCTTTGTTTACTGTAAATGACAAAAGCAAACAGTAAGATGATTTTGTAATTGGATATTCTTTGGACTATTAAACATATATGACCTGGACTGTTTATTGGACTGTGCTATTTCTTAAAGTAAACTTTAACTCAATTTAGTGTATCTATGTGTGGCAGAATAATTATTCATAACTATTCTCATAAACGTTTCCATGTGCATATCCTTGTTACTCAAGGGTTATTCTGTACATATCATAACGTGCTGCTGCCAATGCTAGTGCCAACCTGATGCTCTCACTTTTACAGTTGGCGAGAACACCTCATCATAGTGTAAACCCCTGTGCCATTGACCTTGCTTTATATTTTACTTCATTATTGGGTAGTACCTTTTTCTTGTATACCCGCTTGTATCCTACAGCTTTGCTACCCTGTGGCAAAGTCATAGATGTGAACACTTCATGCTCTCTCATGGATTTCATTTCTTTGTCCATGGCTTCCTTCCACTTTACTTGTTCAATTTTAGGTAATGCCTAAAAACTTCTTTGTAGTTCCTTGGCTCATACCATACATTATCCACTTTAACTTCACTAGCAGAATACCTGTAAGGTGGAATCGCTTTGTGTCAACCCTCTCTTGCTTCATATCTTGTTAAATTTCTCCTCCCTGAACATTGACACCATCATTAAGTGAGTAACCATCACTAAGTGGATCACCATCACTAAGTGAATCAATCCAAAAATTTGCATCAATTCTGTTCCAATTTTGTTCTGCAAAGCTTGCAGACCTTGAAAATTCTATTATTTTGCTCCCATCACTAAAGCAATAACTTTTTAAGCCTGGCTCATAGCCCACAAACCTGAGCTTCCTAGCCTTTGGTTGCCCCTTTCTTCTAATTGATTTTGGAATATGCACCCACACATTGCTTCCAATCACCCTTAAATGTGCCAGAGATGGTTTTCTCCTATATAGCACTGCATATGGAGTATCATTAATGGAGGAACTCCACAACCTATTTACTAAATAATTAGCAGTCAATATGGCTTCACCCCAATATCACCTGCTTAGACCAGAATCCTCTATGGTTTGCAGGACTCCATTCCATCTCTCAGCAACACCATTCTCAGCTGCAGTGTAAGGATTTGTGTGTCTGTGTTTCATACCTAACTGTGCCAACCACTGTTGAAAACTTGTTGACATGAATTCTGAATCTCTGTCAGTTTGCAGCTGGTGTACCTGTTGTTTATACCTTCTTTCTACAAAGCTTACCCATTGCTTCAATTTCTGTAGCACCTCTGTTTTACTCCTTAGTAACTAGCAGAACCCTAACCTGCTATAGTCATCTACAATGACCAGTGCATACTTAGCTCCTCCCAAACTGGCTTGCATTGGGCCCACCAAATCTGCATGTACTAGCTTTAGAGCTCTTGTTGTCTGCCTTGTGCTACCCTTGCTTACCCGGAATGCCTTGGATTTTGATGTTTTGCATACTGCACAATCCAAATATGCCTTACATTCCTTTACATGCAATCCTTCTGCATACTGGTCCATCTTTTGAACAACTTTAAAGTTGGCATGACCAAGTTTCCTGTCCGGGAGATAAACACATGAATCATGTTTTGCAACATTGCCAAATGTTTGTGCACGTTGAACTTTTTGTCCCTGTAACATATAAAAATTATCATGCTTCATGCTCTTTGCACAGACAATCCCATTTTTCTTGATAAGACACTGCCCATTTACAAATGTGGTCTCAAATCCTTGCTTGTCTAAACTAGAGACATTCAACAAATTATGTTCCATTTCTTGCATATATAAAACATTATTAAACCTTGTTTCCAAATATGGAATTTGCACACTGCCTCTTCCAATAACTTTAGCCTTCTTGCCATTTGCCAAGGCTATTGTGTCTCCAGCAGCTGCATCCATCCTGTAAAACAATTTAGCATTATTAATAATCATTTGGCTATCAATGTCGATAAGCCATTGATATCTTCCATTACTATTGCAGGCTTTTGCAACAGCAATCTGTCCATCAACCTGTCCTTACAAATTTCTTCTGTCTTGCAAGCAGTCCTTCTTTAAGTGAGTAGAAACGAAGCCCCTCTTGCTAGATTGTAATCTGATATCCTCTTCTGGTCTCTGGTAACTGCAAGGCTCTTATCTCTGTGCTGCTCTCTGCAGACAGCCTGTCTGTGGAAATTTCCACTGCTCCTCTTGGGGCCCCTCCTCAGGAATTTTTCCTCCTTGAGGCTTTTTCTATAATGGCGTTTCTGCTTGTTGGCTATCAGACATGCTTTCAGAGCTTCCAAACTCAATTCCTGCTCTGGTTTGCATTCAAACACTGCAGACACAATGTCCCACTTTTTATCTAGGCTGTTCAAAACTAGGAGCACTTTCTGAGATTCAGGAATCCTCATCCCACATTGTTCTAATTCCACAAACAAAGTTTGCACATGAACAAAACTGCTGGCTGCAAACGAGCTCTATATAACTTTCTTGATAATTGTACAATGTCGCGTGCAGATACACTCACATGAACAGTTCTCAATTTATCCCAGATTTCCTTTGCAATCTTTAAATCAGCTACATTGATAAACTGATCATCTTTTAACTTAAGATGATATAAGCAAATGCTCTATCATGCAGCTTCTGATCTGCAGCATTCAATGGTGCTTGGGGTGGATTTTCAACAATATTCCAAAGCTCCT